AGCTAGATGGCCACTTGTTTACCTTCAAGCATTTAACATTTATTATTAATCTTTGCCTGGTCCCATTACAACACTGAGGGCTACAGTATGGAAATTTTCTAATGGTCACTTCTTTTGCATTTATTAGCAGGGTTTTTTTCTTTAAAGACCACTCCCTTGTTCCCTCTTTCAATGGCACTGTAGACTCATGGATTTTTTTTCCTATTCAATATTATATTCTTAAAAAATAACCTTATCTTACAATTTAATTATTTAACCTTATTGAGTTGTGTAATCATTATCACAATCAATTTCAGAACTTTTTCTTCTCATGCTCATTGTTAGCTTCCCATTTCCCCCAAACCTCTGCCATGCCCCTAGGTAATTATTAATCCAGTTGCTGTCTCTATAGATTTACCCATCCTGGATTTCACATACAGCAAAACATACAAAACACCCAACAGGAAGCAAAGGATAACAATAAAAGAACACAACAATGGCAAAACAAAACAGGAAAACCTCTATAGAAAAGAAAGCAGACGATATTGAAAACTGAAACAACTTTCAATTGGTTCAAAAGAGAGATCACATGATAAAGTGTTACATTTTAGCCTAACTACATCTGCCATCATCAACTTTACAGTGTTCTCTGTCTGAGAACAAGGCCATTCACATCCCTAGACAATAGTCCAGGGGGATTGAGTGGCAGCTAAATCCATGTGGAGACCCTGCAAGTGGATTTTGGCCTTTCACTGTTATCCATAGCCTTGTGTAAACAGGGTGTTCAGAATTTAAGCTCTGATATTGCTCCTTCCGGATTTGGATTTTATTATTTACAACCCTTGGATCATACAGGCTGGTGTGCTTCTTCCATGTAAACTTCGTTAGCACCTGCTGTCATTTGTGTTTATTATTGGCCAACAGGAGCCTCTGTCCATTTGAGATAGCCCCATCTGTCTTTGAGCACGCCCTTGCTTCCTAGCACAAAATACTCAGATTCATCTTGTACTCGCCTTGTTCCAAATGCAGAATCAGACGTTTTCCCAAAGAACCCGGTTCCTTGTAGTGAAGAATGGCACTACAGTCAGGGTGCAAAATATGCTTAGAAAATAAAACTCTAGAGGCTGCATGTTACTTTTATAGTGCTTTTCATTTAAAAGTGTCTGATCCAGATATGTTTGCAATGGTTCACCAGTTGATCTTTCCAGAAGTCTTATGTGGGAGGCAGACAAAGTACTAGAGTCAGCTTCAAGAAGAAAGTGTTTTAAAACGGATTGTGGTAGCAATTGCACAACACTGCTTGATGTGATTGAACTATGGAATGTTATGATAGCTGTAAAAGCTGCCAGTAAAATGATTTTAGAACTTTTTTTATAAAGAAAGATAATGGCATTTTCCCATGAACTTTTTGAAACCCCTTCATGTAGCCATAAAAGCAGAGTAGGACCAGGTCTCTTCAACTTGTATACTCAAAGTTTCATTCATTAAGTGTGATGTCGTGTCTGAGATTCCAGAATTTGGCAATGCCATTCAGATACCCCATCTTCTCCTTTCAAAATTTATCTTCGTATTGCTAGGAGGCTGGCTCCATTAATTTAGGAATACAACAGAAGTATATGCTGAAAAAAAGGCTTGATGCAGGGCAGCCAAATTGTATTATAAAACTTAAGAATGGTGATAGGTGTCCTTTGGGGTAAAAAAAAAAAAATTGCCACCTGCAAGATTAAAACGCCGTTTCAAAGGAAAAGTTAAAAAACAACAACAAACTAAACTAATGTCTGCATTTTAAAGATGACAAAATGAGACTTGAGAAACGATTTAACTTTCTAAGGACTCCAAGGCGAAGAAGAGCAGGTACCAGAACCAAAGCCTGTCTTTTCCCTACTAGTTTGCATTTTTTCCCTTTACTTTTTTCTTTTTGCCACAGTACATAGCCCCCTAAAAAGTGTGTTTAGATATTCAATAAAGCCGTGTCACTGTTTGCGCTTGGGCACTGCCAGCTCCACTCAAAGAGAAAGCTTCCTTTGTGAGATTCAAGAGTATTTGCGTCCTTCCCAGCTTGCCTGTGGGAGCCGAGCCTTTTGTGCTGGAGTTTGCTACGGAGGCTTTCAGCGTGCTTGTGAAGGCACAGGATGGTTTGATTTGTGACCTGGCGAACATGGAATACGGGCCATCCCTCAGCCCCTTGTCTCCTGGCAGTCTGTCATTGGGTCCCTCCTCAGGAACCCAAGGGAGCAGGAAATCCAGGCAGCACGTTTGAGAGCGCTGCTGAGATTTGTTACTTCATTGTGGGAAGGTCTCTCTTCTTATCCCTACTTGTTTTACTTTCATTAACATTCACTAAAGATATTTCCTTCAGATCATGTTGATATTTATCCTAAGAAAAGGATGAATATAGTAAATCTGGTTCATCATTACTTTTTTTACATACATTTTCAAGTGGAATACACCGAGAAACTACTCCTAGTCTTTCTCTAGATTTGTATATACATTATAATGTATTCATTTCTACATCATTTAAAGTTTCATATGTTGTTTTTCTCAATTGTAGATCATACCTAATTAAAAAGAAGTGTAAATGTAGCTAAGTTGGAAACATGCTTATATTTAAGCCACTCACTCTGGAAAATGACAGTACACTCCCACCCCCACTCCATCACACCCACCCATACCGCCCCTTTTTAAGATGATATCTGTACTTTTAGGAGCCCGGGTGGGGCTGTCAGGTAAGCTCCCTCGTATAAAGATTCACAGCCTTGGAAAATCTGTATACACGGTCTCTATTGAATTAGAAGCCACTTTATGGCAGTGGGTTTGGTTTTTGCCTTTTTAATCTGTACTTTGAAATTTGAAAAATTCATCCTTTCTTTTCCTTCTGCTTTACATTAAGAGTTTTCTAATAACTGTGTTCTTTCTTAACACAGTTTCTTAAAATTGAGTTCCTGTCAGTGAAACATTTTAAATCCCACTAAAACAGATCAGTGCCTCCCAACCTTGTTTTTATTACCAACCCTCCACACCAGGAGCCCTTTAATTTTTTCCCCTAATCTTTTCCCACCATAACATTTAATATAACGGTTATACTAAAGGTCTGTTTCCATATTGTAGTTATATCTGTGTTTTATACATAAAAAGAGTAAGGTTTTTTTTTTCTTTTCCCCTAGAGCCATTTTTTTTATCTCCTTGGAATGATATGCTAAAACAAGATAGCTTTCTTGAATAAATAAATGCAATCTATAAATTATTTTTTTTCTAATACAGACTGTGAGCTTTCATTTACCTAAAGGCTAAACTCATTCTATAGCTGCAAAAATAGTTATTTTCCACCCTAACCACTACCATCAAGTCTTTCCTGACTCATCACTCTCTCACTCACTGTCACCAAGCCCTAGTGACCTCCCCCCCCCCACCCCACCCCCCGTGGGTTTCAGAGACTGGAACAGTTTACAAAACTTAGCCCCATCTTTCTCTTGAGGAATGCCTGGTGGTTTCAAACTGCCTACCTTGCAGATTGCAGCTCAACTCTTAACCACTATACCACTAGGGCTCTTAGCTACTGATTCATAGTGGCCTTCTATATAAGGTTTCCAATGCTCATCTCTCTCCTGTGGGTGTGAACTGCTAACCTGGCAGTCCAATGCTTACTTGACAGTGCCACCCTCAAGGGTGCTTTTATAATTACTATTTTTTCTATCTAAATAGTTCTTGATCTTTCATAGTACTGTTTTCTTTCAAATACTTTGATGTGTAAACTATTATTTAAATATACTTTAACATTTAAGAGAGACATGTATTTTTCCATCAAAATTCCTTATCTTCTCTCCCAGCTCTAAATAAAGAACTTTTGAATCTCTGAGGAGAGACACTGCCATTACATTTTTTAGCATTTTCCCATTACAGACTATCTATGTGCTTTGTGGTGTTTTTTTTCCTTAAACATTTCTCTGTGTTTCTGTCCTTTTCTTACTGTCTCTCTGCCTTCCCCTTTGCTTTCTTCTCCTAATTCTTTTCATTTCTCTTTACCATCCCTTACTTCCTTTTTCTCCTACATGTCTTTTCCCTTCTTTTCACTCAGGATTATGAGAGGAAATTGCAGGCCTTGCAGAAACAGGTTGAGACTCGATCCCTTGCTGCAGAAACAACTGAAGAGGAAGAAGAAGAGGAAGAAGGTGAACTCTAGACACTTTTAACATTTCCCTTGTGTGCCCTTGCAATTTGTATTATTAGATATGAGTTCAGACCTGGACCCCTCAGAGGTGTCTTTCCCGTGAATGAGAGCTTACTGAGCTAAATCGAAGCTTTTTAAAAAGATGCTCCATGTTGAGAACACAGATTCTGCTCTGGGAGTGGAGCTGAAGTTGATGGCACTCTGCCTTCACATGCCTCATCATTATAAGTCTCTTGGACAGCCTACTTATACTGTCTAGCAGACATTATTATACATAGGAACTTTATAAACTAGAGGGTGTCTATTAAGATACTCTGTTTTATTTCCTGGGCATGGTGTACATCAGGAATTTATTTCCCAACTAAGATGTTGGGGTACTTCAATGCACTTTGCAGCCATCAAAGAAGATTTTTGATTGACCCGTTGTTTACTCATAGCTATTCACTCAAACAGTCATTTCAAGGCTTCATGTTAACTCTTAATCTACTAAATTCTTTATTTTTGAATATCTAAGTAATATATGACCCTTGCCTTTAGTTTCTCTTCCCCCTATAGTAGAAAGAATAATAAATATACCAGGGATATTTTCTTTGTCATAAGCCACATACTGGAAATACATATTTTTAATGAAAGTAAAAGCTCTTTCTTTGATGTACTGTTTTATATGAATTTTAAAGGTTCCCTAGAATGTGTAAACTACTTTCTTAACATTAAAAGAATTTATTAAACTTTTTAAACAGAATAGAACAAAAGCTGTTAAATGTTGAGAAACGGGAATGCTGTGACAACTAGAGAAGGTGGAAGAGGTGTAACGTCTACAACGGTGTGATACTACCACTGAATGTGCTGCCTTTGCTCTTTCAGTTCCTTGGACACAGCATGAATTCGAGTTGGCCCAATGGGCCTTCCGAAAATGGAAGTCTCACCAGTTTACTTCATTAAGGGATCTACTTTGGGGCAATGCTGTTTACTTGAAGGAAGCCAATGCCATCAGTGTGGAGTTGAAAAAGAAGGTATGAAGGGGGAATTATCATTCAAACAGTCTATGATATGGGTTCACAGTAGACTAACTCTTCCTTTGGGTAAACTCAGCTTTAATATGCCATGGAAGAGGTTTATACACCTACTCTTCTCTTACCAACTCTTTTGTTATCTGACATTTCACATTTATGACAACTTTGCAAAAATTCTCAGACAGGTCCAGGACACCCTTCTTTGGTCACCCCAAATGATATACCAGAGGCCTTAGTGATGACCAGGTCACATAAGGAACAATAGCTGGCTGGCCTCGGGATGCCTCCCATTCATCCATGACATCTCAGGCCAAGAAGGTTGCAGACCGACAGCAGTGACTATATAAGCTTATGAGTAGACAGGCAGATGACAGGCAAGAGCTCTGAGATTCTGGGATGAGTTAAAGGAGGGGAGAGGGATAGGAACCACGTGAGGCTGTGGGGTCAGTGACAGACAAGTCAGTGGGGTCTCCACCTAGGGTGGGCACTGAGGCAGCAGGTGGTGACTGGTACCTGACCACCATCACCCCTAATCCCCAGAGGTTCTTTGGTGGTGGGGAAGGCCTGGTAGGGAAAGGGGCCCTACATTATGGTGCTGGGGCTGGGGTGGGGAGCCAACAAACAATGAGATATCTGG